TATATGTAATTTACATGGGAACGGCGTGGTTTAGAGATATGGAGCCGCCAATTTTCTGAAACAATGTGGTGACATTTGCTTGTTCTGACATTTACGGATTGGAATAACCAGCAAATTTGATCCCAAAGTTTCCACTTACAAATACAGGGTAATTGGAATTTTTTTGCACTAAATTTATTAAAAATTTAAAATCATAACAATATTGTTTTCTATTATTAAAAATCTTACATTGATTGTCAAAATATTAATATTGACAGTTAAATATATTTTTAACTTTTTATAATAATATTGTTACGATTTTAAACTTTTTAAGCAAATTAACCTTTAAAAAAACTTTCAGACATCCGATACTTTTTAGTATAAACTCTTAAAACAAATTTGCATTTTAATTTTTTTACAGATTTACCAAAAGTAACAACTGCAAACACTGTTTTAACTTTTAACCGTGAACAATTCATACGAGATGTACACTTTTAAGAGAATCATACCTCGCATACTTAAATTTACCAATCATATGTTGTTTTTCCAATGAGAATTAAATAAAAATAAAAATTTAAAATTGATCATTAAATATCTTACAAATAACTTATATTTGGAACAATTTTTTTTTCCACAAATGACTTATTATAAGGATCGGCATGACATATATCCACTGTCAGTTATCACTCTTCAAAGCAGAATACACTCATAACCAATATACTGTAGTTCTAGCTGAATTGATTCGATGGTTTAATTTTTTCAATATCATGAAATCTCATTTATTTTGGCGAATTATATCAATGTTCTTCGATTACCTAATCAACAAACACTAAGTTTGCCCAATTCTTGGGCTTCAAGAGATATGTTTTATGTTTATACAACTCTAAATTGAATCTTATAAAAGAGGAAGCAAATTTAAAAATTTGAATTTTATTAACAAAAATGGAAAGGAGTGCTTATTATACCCAGCTTGCCTGGCGGGAGACGTCCCACATGGGCTGAAGTCCATGCAAAGACATCTTACCAAAAAAATAAACTCTCTTCATTTCTTCGCATATCAGACATTTAACCAAATTAACACACATTAAAAAAATTAGTTAAAATTAATTAAAGATAATAAATATGAAAAATAATAATAATTTTTTTTAAATATCCTTATTAATAGGGGGAAAGAGTATACTCTCTCTACCTCTTTTTATACAGAACAATATCTTATATAGTGATGTATATAAATATAAAAAACAAATTCTCTTTCTCAAAAATTTTAAACTAATTTTTTCACTTTTACTCCATCAAACATACGCCACTTATTATTTTTGTAATAAATTTTTACTCATTATCTCTCATGTATTCTCCTTATAAGTTAGGGTATAACTGAAAAATATGTTTATCTCTAACATATTTATTACTTTTAACTAAGTTTAACTAATATTTTTAACCACATAATTTTGGCAATTGTTTTTTATAATAAGAAATGGAGGGTAAGAGGGAATAAAATAAATGTATGATGCTGCGGGAATTAGGATAATAAGCAACTAAGGAAGGCAAAATAGAAAACTAGCCAAGAAAATTTGAGTCATCTGCAAATATTTTTTTATAAATAGAGATATGGTAAATATAGTAGTTGTTTCTTATAAAAAAAATGAAGAGAGAAATTATTTTTGAGAATTTAAAAAATCTAAATTACTTTTTGAACTGATGTTTCTTAGTGCCCGTAAAGTGTTAAAAGCGACTTACCATTCAGGTCCTAGATATAACTCACTTGTAGAAAAAAATTTTGGCATTAAATGTAAGTAACTTGTAACACGTTTAATGCTTATTTTTCAAGGGCAAATTACAATGAAGTCTCAAGCAAGAAAAACAATTAAAAAACAAGTTCCAAAAGTTGTCATTCTCACTATAAGATTTGTTATTATAGGCTGTTGAGGTTGTTATTGGGACTTTTGGGTAATTATTTCTCTTATGTGGGACTTGATTGTAATTCTCCCATTTTTCAATGTTATCATTATTTAATTCTCATTGGAAGGAGAGAAGTAAGAAAGAAAGAGACATAAAAATAATTTGTAGATACAGAGAGAGAAAAAATATTTAATGAGGGTAAAATTAGAAAAACCTGCCAATTTAATGTATTCTTTAATACTCCATCCGTTCATGTTTATAAGCAACAACTACCATTCTTCTCTTGTTTTTAAATCTAAGCAACATTTATACGTTGTCTTAAATTTTTGTAGCAAATTTTCTATTTTACCCCCATTAATTACTTATTTTAATATTCAATATATTTATTATCTTATTTTTTAAACCATTATCTCTCCTCATCACTCATTCTTTCTCTTTTATAATTTTTTTTATTATAATAATTTTCTTATTCTTTTTCTTATACCACTACTACAAAAAAAGTCATTTTCGTCTGTTTTTCAAAACAAAAGAAAAAAGGCCACTATACTTGTCTGTTATAGCAGAACAGACGAATATGTACACACATACTCGTCTATTACACTCTAACAGACGAATACGTGTGTTCAGACTCGTCTGTTATGGTCTAACAGACGAGTATGTGTGCTCCATACTCGTCCGTTATGCTGTAACAGATGAGTATGTAGACGAAAAACTTTTTACTTTAAATTTTGAATTTTCAGAACGTAGTGCCATTTTTTTTATCAAATCAAAATAAATCCTAGCAGCAATTTCTCTTTTCCTCCTCTTCTCCTTCACCACAAGCTTCCTCTTTTTCCTCTTCCTCTCTTCTCATACGATAACAAGCGTTCTTCTATCTTCTCCTTCTTGACTGACAATAACTCCTCTTCTCTTCTCTTTCTTAGCGATGCTAAAGCTGAACGACACAATGGACTCCACGGTCAGCCTCTCTTTTTGATGGCAGATAGCTCCTCCTCTCTTCTCTTGTGTGTTCAACAACACTCTCTTCTTCTTTTTCCACCATTTTAGCTTTGCAAGAAGCAAGGTAAGTTTTGTGATTTAGTGTTGAATGTTTTGGTTGTATGAGACTATTATATATTTGTTGAAAGTGATTGTTTGGGTGTTTTGGTGTTGAAAATTTTCTCTTTAAATTGATTGTTGGTGAACAATAGCTTTTGGAAAGTAATGATAGTGATTGGAAAAGTATATTAAGATTAAAAGCATATTAAACTTGTTTAAATATTAATGCACATAAGGTGTTTGTAAAAATGTCCAGGAGAGAATCTGTTGGAATATGATAGTTAATTAAGTATCCTCAATGTTTAATCTTCATGTTATATTTTAGAAAAGTTTGGGATTCTAAAAGTTAAAATATCTAGTTAAAAAAGTTAGGATGTCATTAGATTTTCTAGTTTTAAACTTTCTTATGTTATGTGACTGAATTAAGGTGTTTTTTTTTTAAAACTAAGCGAATGTAGATGTTATTGTTGTTACTCTTAAAATTATGATTTGTATGGAAAGTGTAATATAATTTGGTCTTGCTGAATTACTATTATTGTTGCTTTGTTTTGGTTTTGTTTTATACACTTTAGAATTATAAGTTATAGTAAAAACTAACGGTGCAAATAATTACATTTTTTTTAAAAAAAAGGCCACTATTTTCGTCTGTTCTCACCATAACAGATGAATATGGTGCCACATATTCGTCTGTTCTCACCATAACAGACGAATATGGTGCCACATATTCGTCTGTTTTCCCAAAACAGACGAATATGGCACCATATTCGTCTGTTCTGGGAAAACAGATGAATATGCAAGGCACATATTCATCCCCCTTTAAACAAACGAAAAAAGGCCTCTAGAACAGACGAAAATGGATCTTTTTGTAATAGTGTGCTCTCTTTCTCCCCATAAATAAAGATATTTTGGAGAAAGAACTTTTAATTTTTAAGTATTTATTGTCTTTAACTAACTTTTTGCCCTATGTTGCTTATAAAAAAGGATGGAGGGAGTATACAAGAATGGATTACAAGTGGCTTATATTGAAGATTAGTGATATATGTCAGGAAAAAAGCGACTTATATGTTTGGTCTGTTCTTTTATATTTTTTTAGTCTTGTTTATAAGTCATTTTTAACATGTTTTACATAGATTAAAAAAATCTTAAATTTTATTAATTCTTATTTAAAATTCTATAACTTTTCAATTTTATTTCTATTTAATATGTATTATACCCCATAAGAATAAAGTCAACACAATAATAATTAAAGGGTCAAATTATACATTCATGTCAAAAGTTTTTATCTTTCTCCTATAAATAGGAACAGAGGAGCATAAGAGATGAGTAATCAAATCACATTGATTAAAAAATATATAAAAATTAGTTAAAAAATAAATATATAAAAAATGTAATTTATTTTTCAAAAATATCTTGATTTATGAAAAACCGCATGGTGTGAAATGGGCCAGCGTTCTGGTCTTATCCTTTCCGCGTCAGTTAATGTGAAGTCAACACGCATTCAATTTATTACCAGCCGGGTGCACCAATAATTTCATGGTAAAGTTTGCTGTATTGGTTGGACAACAATCATAGGAAAATTACAATAGGATCTCAAAAAAAGAAATATATGGCTATAACAAAGTTGCACCAACACATTAGAAGTTCTTATATCCCACTCTAAAATTTACTATTACTTACTGTAGACAACTTCAGTAATAAATTAAAAGTTGTCATATCTTACATTAAAACTTGTCATTACTTGTTGTTTGGAGTTACAATAACAAGTTAGAAATTGTAATATCTTATTTTAAAATTTGTCATGGCATATTGATGAGTTATTGTTAAGACTTTTTAATAATTTTTTTTTTCTTTAAGCCTTATTGCAATTCTTCGATAATAAGTGTGGCACATGGAAACCAGCGAGTGCATGTGCCTGTGGGGCTGAAAGGGTCAGATAGCAGTAAGAAGAAAAACCTAACAATGCATCTGTTTATATTTTGTCAGCAAAATAATAAATGTGTTTTTTTTGTCACTTTATTTATTATCTTCATCTCTTTCTCTTATGTTTAAGAATCGTAAGAATTTCTTTCAACCACACCAAAAAGATGGACGCCATCGCTGGGAGTGTTTTTCAGGGACTAACCTCTTTGGCTCTTGAAGAGTTCAAATTGCTGTGGAATGCTAAACATGATGCAGAAAGGATGAAGAACACGATCCTTGCCATCAGAGCTACACTGTTGGATGCAGAGACAAGGGCCAACAACAACCATCAAGTCAGCTTTTGGCTTTCCAGGCTGAAAGATGTCCTCTATGATGCAGATGACCTGCTTGATGATTTGTCCACTGAAGCTTTGAGGAGGGGAACCATGACCAGAAACAAGGTGGCAAAGAAGGTATGGATCTTCTTCTCAAAATCAAACCAAGTTGTTCATAATCTTAAGATGGCTCATAAATTGAGGAAACTCAGGGGAAGGCTGGATGAAGTTGATGATGAAAAGAAAAAATTTCATTTGATTGATCACCCTCCTAAGCCTCTCCCTTTACTTGAGCAACAAACAGACTCTTTTGTGCAAGAAGATGAAATCACTGGGAGAGAGGAGGAAAAAGATTTGATTTTACGTTATTTGTTAGACAGTAATGTAAAATCTAGTGTTTCAATTATTCCTATTGTTGGATTTGGAGGGTTAGGCAAGACCACACTTGCTCAAATTGTGTACAATCACGTGGATGTTCAAAAACATTTTGGGTTGAAAAGATGGGTTTGTGTGTCTGATGAATTTGATGTAAAACAAATAGCACAAAAGATTTTAGAGGAAAAAAGTTCAAAAGAGATGGAGGAAGTGCAACAAGATCTTAGAAAATTAATAGAGGGGAAGAAGTTTTTGATTGTCTTAGATAATGTGTGGAATGAAGATATTGAGGTTTGGTATAAGATGAGATGTTTACTAACCATTGGAGGAGAGGGGAGTATGATAATTGTTACCACACGTAGTAAGAAGGTGGGAAAGATGATGGGCACCTATCCGCCAATTATCCTTAAAGGTTTGGATAGTGAGAGATCATGGGATTTGTTCTGTAGAATGGCTTTCGAAGGGAGTAAAGAGTCAAATGATAAGGAGTTGTTAGAAATTGGGAGGGACGTTGTAAAGAAATGTGGAGGAGTCCCTCTTGCTATTAGAGCTGTTGGAAGGCTTGTGTATGATAAAACTTTAGAAGAAATCACAGATTTGTCATACTTAAGGAACTGTGAGTTTTGGAAAGAAGATAAGTTGGAGAAGAGAATCTTTGCTGTGCTTAAACTCTCTTATGATCATCTTCCTTCACCTATGAAAAATTGTCTTGCTTTTTGTTCATTGTTCCCAAAAGATTTTAGATTCGAGAAGGAAACACTAATTCAAATGTGGGTCGCCGAAGGATTCATTCAATCAACTAATAAGATAAGGTGTGAGGAAGATGTTGGGAATGAATATTTTATGAACCTACTTTCAAGATCCTTCTTCCAAGATGTCTTAAGATATTCATATGGCATACAGTCATGTAAAATGCATGACCTTATTCATGATTTAGCACAATTTGTAGCAAAGGATGAGTACTTTATCATCAAGGAAGGAAAAAAAGAAAGTGCTAAAGAGACAACACGTCATTTGTCATATCATGTGCCAAGAAATGATTGGGAAGTTCCAACTTCCTTCCTCAAGTTTAAAAAATTGAGAACAATGCTCTTGCTCACCCAGGCTTTTTCTTGTCGGATGGATCATCGTGTTTTTGATTTGGTTGCATCAAAATTGAAATCCTTACGTGTTTTGAGCCTAAAGAATTTGAGAATTACTGAAATTTCAGAAAGCATTGGAAAACTGAAGCATCTGAGATTTTTTGATCTTTCATGTAATGATATTATCCAGCTCCCAAGAACTATTACCAAACTCCACAACTTGCAAACCTTAAACCTCAGTTTGAATCCAATTCGAGAATTGCCAAGAGACATTAATAAATTAGTAAGCTTGATGCATCTTAATCTTATGTATTGTGATGATTTGGAATGGATGTCAAGTGGTTTGGGGCAATTAACTTCTCTTCGAACCTTGACATATTTTGTGGTAGATGATCAAGAGATGCATGAGAAAAGGGGAAGTGCAAGGATAAGTGAATTGGGAGAGCTTAACAACTTGAGAGGGATTCTAACAATAAGTGGGTTGAAACACCTGAGGTCAAACCCTGTAAAGGTCGAGTCTGCAAGATTACAAGAGAAGCAACATCTGCAGGAGTTATTATATTATTGGGACACACTCCACTCTCCGAATGGTGAATTGTCTAAAGATGCTTTTGACGAACTGATTTTAGAAGAGCTTCAACCTCATCATACCATCAAAGGTCTAAGCATTACAGGATTTCGGGGGGAAAGGTTACCAGAGTGGATTGGAAATCTGGTGCAACTGCAATATCTTCGGCTCCAGGATTGCAAGTACTTGATGTCACTTCCTGAAGGTCTTCATAATCTCACAGCATTACAATCACTGAGCATACACAGATGCCCATTGTTGGCCGCTGATGATGTTCGGCAAAAAGTTGCTCATCTTCCAAATGTGGACATTAAATAATATTGGTGCTTGGAGTGAATAATGCATCGCACACCAAGCCCAACACATGCTCCCAATTAGTCCCTATTTTGTATGCTTTATTATTTCATTGCCTTCATTGTGGAATTGTTGTGAGTCTCTTTCGAGGTTAATCTATTTCCTCTATAGTAGTTCTTTTTAATTAATATTCACTGGTGACGATTCGATTTTTTTTTTTTTGGGCCTGAGTACTGGATAAATACAATCCCATTCTAAGGTGTCAATCTATGAATGTGTTTTTGAGAAAGCTGTAGATGCTGATAAAAAAACATTTGATGACTTCGTAATTAATTTTAATTATGTCAAACAAAGTTTCATCATGTGAAAACTTGTTCTGTAAACATATTTGAATATAATATCAAATCTGGTCAATGCCATATTATATTTTATATAATCTGCAATGCTCTGATTTTTATTTTTTATTTTTGCCTGGTCATCTTGATATTCATGTTGTAGTTTAGGACATGTCCAATGTACTGTAGATGACTCCTAGTAACATAAATAGTCATAAATTTGTTTTAGAAAAATATTTGTTGAATTTCACAAAAAAACACATACATCATACTGATTACTCTTATAATTGTTTTAACTACTCAATATATATATATATATATATCAAAATCACCTATTTGTCATTTTAAAATTTAACAGTTATTTTTTATCATTTTATTTTTTAAAAAAATAATTTCACAAATATCTTAAATTAAAAAGTATAGAAATTATTTGGAGTTATATGTATATATCTAAAAGATAAAAATAACATATTATTACGTTTTTAATTCTCATACTTTCCACTGGGAGAAAAAAGTGAAGAACAATCCAGTGTTCTAAAGTCTGAACTTTGAACGCCCTTCTCTTAATTTTCAAGGCTCTTTTTCCTGTTTTGTTTATAGAGCAACAGTTACATATCTACATTAGAAAATTTAAAAAAAAAAAACTGAAACTAACATAAACACTAATTTAAATATGAAATTTCTGGACTAAAATTGGATTGATTCTTAATTATCATCAAATTTTAAAACCAACCAACCTAAAAAACTAAGTGAGAAGGGAGGTGTGGAAATTTCGAAAAGAAGGGAAAAAAAGTATTTGGTAGGAATAATCGTCAATATATTATAATCACCTCTTCCACCAAGCCATGTCTGAAAATGGCTTAGCATTGACTTCATACGCAAATTACTCTTTATAAGCCATGTTCATTAAGAAAACCTTATTCCTTGAGCTTCTATCAAGCTGGATATAATAAATGTTATGCATCAGGCTTTGGCTTCGGCTCATTGTTCTATCCTTTTCTCTCAGGCTTATTTATTATGTTTTTCCTCTTGTCGATGTTTATCATCTGCCTCTCTCCATCTTTTCTCTATAGCAGGCATTACCTTTCACTTTTTCATTGTCGTGGGTCCTTACAGCTAAATTCAATTTTCAACATTTCATCTCCCTCCATCTCTTCTCGTCTCCTTTCTTCTTTTGCCTTGAAGACCTTTCCTTAGGAGTCTCAATCCCCTTTCATCTCATTCAAAATGTTTGTGATATCTTCCTTCATTCTTCCTTTCATTTCTGTTCTTTCCCCTTCTTCCTGCATTTTTATTTCCCTTTGGCTGATTTCACTTTTCTTTATTGTTCTTCAAATTGTTTTTCTTTGGCCCCTCTTGCTAGGTTTTCCAATCAGTTTTGCAATTCATCAAGGAAGGAAGAAAACAGAAAGCATGTGTTCTGTCTCTGTTTTCTTCTTATTTGCTCAAGGCAGCTCTGCTATTCTCTTTGAACTCATCTCTCTCTCCCCCTACATTGATCTAAGAATCAAGAGGATGCTGTTGAAGTTGTTCACAGATCTTGCAATATTGATGCTGCTAAAGCCCAACTATATTTTAGATGAGAGATGAGTTTCTCATCTTTGTATTCTCTCTAGAAGATGAACGGGAATCAAGGCAATTTTTTCCTCATGATATACTGTGGCTAATCATCCTTCTCGTTTTCACCACCACTGCCGTATATTTTTATTGCTTTTGCTCCATAGTGGCTTTTTAATAAGAGTGTGAGAGTATTTTAATAGGGATGCTTTTGGATATGGGACACTAGATAGGCTACCTCTTTCTACTTCACATGGATGTGAGTTAACTGCTTGTGAGGTTAAGTTGCTGTGATGATTTCTCTGTGACTTGAGAGATTTTGGAGACTCTGATCCAATAAGAGGGCAAATTGAGTCAGTCCTCAAGTTCTGTGTGAAAATATGTAAATCCATGTCATGCGTCATTAATCTCTTTCTCATGAATTGATTTTAGAAAAGCTTCATGCTCATCATACCATGAAACGTCTATTCATTGCCGGATTTTGTCGGGAAAGGTTATCAGACTGGATTGGAAATCCCGTGGACCTGTGATATCTTTGGCTCGAGGGTTGTGGGTATTTGATATCACTTCCTGAAGGCCTTCGTAATTTCACATCATTAGGAACATTTGTTATACATAGATGGCTGATGATGTTCGGCAAAAATTTGCTCATATTCCAAATGTGTACATTGGTTAATATTGGTACTTCGAGTGGATGTTTGAGTTTTGCTTGCTTTTATTTCATTGCTTTTATTGGGGACACGTGATTTTGATATTGTTGTGAGTCTCTTCAAACAGTTAGTTTATTTATTTTTGGTTTGGATTAATATAATATTTGATATATCAAATTTGTCTTTATTTTGACGTTCGTAAATCAACTTTGAACTTTCAAATCATAGTTGTTTGTGTTTTAAGAGGTAAAATTGTCTAGATTTTTATTGAATTATAGGGATTAATATTTTAAATGAAAAGAAATTTGAAGAACAAAATTTTATGGTTTGAAATTTGAGAAACCAAAACCAAAATAAAAATAAATTTAAAAAACCAAAAATTATATTAATCCTTTGAGTTTTTTAATTAATGCTCATTGGCGACGATTCAATATTTTTCGTTTGTATACTTAGGATGTACTTGGATTAACGGTGACAAAACTAAATTTTATTCCATGTGACTTTTGTAAATATGAGTTAAAATAAAAGGAGAAATTGCAAAAAAGACCTTCGAATTGTAAAAACGCAGATAGGGACCCTTGACAACTTCACTTTGGGTTTTGACAACTTCAGGGCATATTATTCTTGTCAAAACCCAAAGTGAAGTTGTCAATGGTCCCTATCTGCGTTTTGCAATTCCAATGTCTTTTTTGTAATTTTTCCAAATAAAAATCAGTTAATGTAATATGATTTATGTTTGGATTCACGTTATAAAAATTAAGTTCAAAAAGTTGAAACTTATTTAAATAATTATAAAAAATAAGTTTGGATGTAAAATAAATGAAAAAAACATGAATTTTATTGAAAAGTACTATTTGATATTATATATTTTTAATGTAATAATAGTTAAACAAGTATCTAAAATTATTATAATAAAATAAAAATAGTTTTCTGGTGAAATTATAAAATAAAAATATTTTTTAGTGAGAAAATTTTGAAAATCGGTTGTAGATAATTAAACATATATAATAGATAAACATGAATATAAATTATAATTCATTAATATGTTTATTATTGAAGTAAATGAAGTTACATAATACGATTCATTTGTGTGCGTGGCAGGTGTGAGGGAGAAGCGAGAGAAGGGTAAATCTGATAAGTATAATTTTAAACAAGCATTAAATGTAATTTTAACAGTAAATTTACTTTTTAACTTGCCCAACGTGAGCTCTCCCAGCGTTCCAAGTTCCAACGCACCCCTCATTTTGTGCAAAAGTTGGTTGGGCTTAAAGTCTAACCAAACAATACTATAATCCAAAATTACTGATGCAATTGCCTATTCCACAATTTCTTTAGCCACTCCAACACTAACCCAAACATTGCCTTAATAAATACAATCACATCCTAAAGTTACAAGCTTTGAATGTATTTTTGAGAAAGCTGTAAATGTTGATAAAAAATTTTAATGATTTCATAATTAATTTTAATCATGTCAAACAAACTTTTTCTTTAAAAATACTAGAATGTACTCCTCCAATCTTAAATATAAGATCTTTATACTAATATGTATAAGGGTCTTATATTTAGGATCAGAGGAGTATAAGATATCAAATCAAGTCAATGCCATATTATATTTTATATAATCTGCAATGCTTGATTTTGTTTTTCGTAGTTTTCTTGATATTCATGTTGTCGTTCAGTCTCCACTATACATGAAACATATATGGCTGTAATTTTTTTTTTTTGAAAAATAATTTCATAACTATTTTACATTAACAGATAAAAATAACGTTGTTACTATTTTTGTATTCTCATAGTTTCCACTGGGAGAAAAAGTCAACAACAAGGCAATCTTCTAAAGCCTGAACTTTCAACCCCCTTTTCTTTCTTAATTTTCACGCCTCTTTATCCCGTCTTGCTTATTATAGTAATAGATAAATGTCTACATTTATAAATTAAAAAAACCGAAACTAATATAAAAAATATTAATGATAACATATATTACATTACCTGAAATAATTATGTACATCTCCAGTCATTAATATAAGATTTGATTAATTAATTTGAGTAAAATAAGGATGTTGGTCAAATTAATTAATATGATTCTTTTTTTTCCGTAAAAGACCCTAAATATCTTTCTCGACTTTCTTCTTTTTTTCCACTTGATTATTGTTAGAAGAATATCAATAGAATTAATTTGAATAAACTTGTAAAATAGATTTTACATATAAGATCAATATTAACTCCCCAGTTAGGTTCTATATATATTATATATAAGGGAAAAATCCCAAAAAGAAATACTTCTAAAATTTTAAAATCCCAAATTAAGAATGACAACAAAAATGTGTTGTCATTTGCTTTTCAAATATTGTCAATTATTATTGAAATGTAGTAAATAATATTGATTTGAAATTTTAAGATTCAAATTTTTTTTTTTTGGATTCTCACATACCTAAATTTATAAGTGAGACAAATTAATTTTGAAAAAAATAATCAATACAAA